AGCTTACCGAAAACATGAAAGTCTCATGGCACTAAATCGGGACTGTATGGAGGATGTTGCCGTACCTCCCGCTTGAATCGCTGAGGCAGGTGGCACGTTTGGCGAGCCTTGTGAGATGTTGCATTCATGTTTTCGGAAAGCTTAAAAAACATTTCGGTGGACAACGATTCCGAAATGACGAGGAGGTAAAACCAGCTGTCACCATGTGGTTATATAGCGCTGGAGGAGATTTCTATGCATCCGGAATCAAAAAGTTGGTTGTCCGCTCGGAATTGAAAAGTTGGTTGTTCAGTTTAGAGTGTCTTGGTAACTATGTGGAAAAATAAACCTACATTGGATGCTGCCATAGCTGTGTTGCTTTTGTATTGAAAATTTAATAAATGGTCATAACTTGGGAGTCCAACTTACTTTTTGATCTGTCCTCGTATTAACCTACATTATCTTTTAGTTTTATTTAAATTTACTAAAATAATTTGCATTGACAACAAGTATAGAAGTAGTAAAAAGCGGTACGGGTAAATGGAATTTCGGATAACTGAAATCAGGATGAACTTATATAATGGATGCAAGAAAAAAATTACAGACTTAAAGGCGTATTAGTAATCGTGTAATGACGCTGAGAAACAAATTAAAAACAGGCTAATTATCTCTTTCACATTTACCTATTTATCTTCTTACTTAAAAATCTATAAAACTAAGTATGAGTAGTTTATGCAGTCTCGTTTTATTATATTAAATCTCGGATTTAATGCTTACTTGAATAATGGGAACGCCCGTCTATTATGTAACTTCGCAATAATTTTTTAATAAGTTCCTGAAAAAATAAATAAATGCGTTTAGAAGTAGTAAAAAGTTATGATAAAGTTTTGCGTAATCCTATTTCCTCTACCTCAAGAAAAATAACAGTAACGAAACTACTTATTAAGTTAAATAAATGAACATGAGTGAATTGTGGAGCTTGTTTAAATATTGAGTGGGTGGATCTTGTTGAGTACAAATCATGAATACCCATCTGTTGGGTAGTTATTATTAATCATAAATTTCATAAGAATATTTTATAGAAGAAAAATTCATTTGAGAAATATATGCCTGTCGAAACTCTAGGAATCATGATAGATTACATCTTGGTATAATTTAAAATAAAAATGTGGAGTTCTTGATAACTTGCAGCAGATATAAAATCATTCAAATGATTACTATGACAAACTGTTTTCGTTTGCAAAACGTAAAAATGTTCCAGAGTAAAAGCGAAGCATTTATTAAATACCATTTCTTTGCTACTTATAGTAAATATCTCACATTTAGTATCTGAAAGAGAATCATTAAAATAAGCATGGCAATTATTGAAGATAGAGAATTTTCTTCTTCCTTCCTGTCTTCTTCGTGTAACTGAAAGAATGTCCGGCTAGTAATTGAGTGCTTCGGAGTTCGAATCCTAGAAAAGATTTTCCATTTCTGATTTTTCATGCTTCATGCGTCCATAAATTAACTAATGATTTTAGAAGTGACACTCGACTAAAATATGGTAGATAGTAATTCGTCACCTATTACATTTAGCGAGGTGACTGAGTAACCTTTATCCCCTTTAAGAGGGGAAGAATACAAGGAATTTTCTTCTTCCTTAATACATGCTTTTGTGGTGTAATCATAAGCAGGTGCGGCCAGCAACTGGAAGGTTTAGAGTTTGATCATCGAAGAGCATTTTTTTTTCATGTTCCGTTCTCTGACAGGTACCTAATCACTCTACAGAGTTGTGATAATAGAAACATTAACATTAAAATTTTTGTTCTTTGTTTTGCCATCGATTTATGAGCTTTCTAGTCTGTTCGCGTAATGCATTAGTTGCAACTGGATAATAATGCTTGGCCCGGTTCCTAAATTCTCTGAACTCCGAGCAGACAAGAGACCTCTGAATCAGTAAATTGATGCACATTCGATGCTCAGAAAACAGGTTGGCATACATATATAAACGTATGCAGAAATAGTTTCCACCTCTTCATTAAAATATATAGTAATTGAAAAGCTTATTCTGCTGTTAACTGTTTTTAGTTTTCACTTACTTGTACAAAGTGAAGGAAGTACTGTAATGAACTGTACTGTAAAAAACTGCGGGTGCAATATTTAAACAAATACAGCCATTCTGGCCGCTATCGAATCCATTTGAATGATTTTTTTACGTGACATCTCTACATAAGGACAGAATAAAGGACTTGTTTTTCCAATACGAATAGTAAAGTGGATTTAAAATGAATTCAGGAAAGATTTTTTTTTTGTGACGTGATACATATGTACATACGCGTATATATGTATATATCTCGCATTATTCGAAAACGAGTAGCATTCTAATGTTGAAATTTTGTATATAGGACTGTTTTAACATGTTGTTGCGCATCTCCCTGGCCGCACCAAACGTATATATAGCTTATTAATTATATATATATATATATATATTTAATATATGTAATAATAAAATTCATATCAAGAATACACTTAAAATTCTACTATATGTTCTTTTCATTTATAATGGCGACGGTCTCTATTTGAAGTAAGTGGAATTAAATCCACAGCCTCGTAGTCAAGTGTTTTTCCGCCTTTTTACACGTACAGTTTTAGATGTTCTGGAAGATATTTAAGCGAACTGGATGGTACGAGGCTGAGGCTGACGTCATTTCTTTTTAAGCTCCGCCTTTCCAAGGCTTATAAAAGGACTCGCACAGGAAATAGGGGTTTTTCTTAAATGTCACGATACAGTAAACTTCATACAAAAGGTTATTAGTATTCTTTTTATTTACTCCGGATATCTGATTTTTGTAACTGCTACTTCTCCTGAATAATGATAAATGGATCCTGTTTTTTAAACTTATCGTCTGATTATTTAAGCTACGACTAAAGCTGATACATCACATATATTTATACACTCATTCTGTTATCCGACTCAGTGAGTTCAGTTTTTACTCTTATATAATTGTAAATTGTGCCATTTCTGCTTTAAAAGTGACTGAGTTATGTTGTTCTTATATTATGGTTAAGGCTTTTATGCTTTAGTTAATCTGCGTGGAAAAGTTGCAGAATAATCAACAATTTAAAAGTAACGCTAGGCCTAATGGGGCCGCCGTTCTTCCTTTGAAACACTTAGTGGAATAGCGAATTAAGTTAGTTTCTGCACCAGCTTTAGTGTCTTTCTGCCCAGTGGCAGGAAAAAACTTTCAGTTTCAAACTTTCAGTTTGTGCACCGAAAATGGAGTATTCCTGCCCTTTTCTCCGAATTGCCTTTTCTTGCGTAGAAACCCTAATTTTAATTATAATTTTTTTTTCATTATGCGTTTTAGGTTTTTCTGCATTTTACAATTTTTAATGAAGATGTTTTGAGTTTTTATGTATTTTTGTCCTCCCGTGAAATCAGAACTGTTGCTTGAATGAAAAATATATTTCTAACGAAAGTCGAGGAAATAAGTTTAAATGAAGTGCAGTAAAAATGTATATAATTTAATAAGCCGTATAAGGAAGTCATGCTGCATCAGATAATTCTTTTAGCGGAGACTTCATCGTAAACACAAAAACAAAATGGATGCTGAAGTAAACAATTCTGATACATTTCCAAAACATTTAAAAAGCGCTTGTTTTTTTCCAAAGTTAAGATCTCCAAGTGTATCAAATCTTCTGGTATAATCTCAGCTTTCTGCTTACCGCTTTCTGACATCAGAAATTTCTGCAAAGAGATAAAACCTAATGGAAAATAAAGATGGAATAAAACTGTTGCTTTGTTTACAGTTGTTACAAAAGATAGCGAAAAACAAACAAGCGATATTTCCTCGCGCTCCAGATAAATTTTACCGTCAAATAAAAATTGTTTCCACTGTTATTTCAAGATTATTTTGCTCTTTCCTATTACTTTCTGTGACTCGACATCCATCCTAATCGCCACGAGACCGAACAACGTAGAGCATTGCAAGAATTTTCGATAAACATTTATATTTTACAGATTACAAATGATACTTTATCGAACCAAGTATAAATTTTCTCGATATTTTTTTCCGAGCAGCAAGATAGATAGCGAAAGCATTTTATGAGCAAAGAGAATAAAGTTTTCCTAAAGCAAAGTGTTGAAAACAAGTTCAGATCCATAGATGTCATAATAACAAAAAAACTTATTTTTTGAAAAAGCAAAATAATATATTATTCGGTGTATTTTAAGAATGTCAACGATAAAAAGCAGCTGCGTCACAGCAAGAGAGCCATTTTTACTTATCTTTCTATCTGTCTACTTCTTTATACATACAGGATAGCACAAAAATTTATATATATATATGTATTTATATAACGATATACAAAGGTTCTAGAGACATTAGGATTTTTTGGAAGCAAGAGAGATTGAAAAATGAGCAACGCCCTCGCCGGGAATCAAACCGCGGTTCTCTGGAATACGCGCACAGCGTGTAGACCACCGCACCACGAAGGCATGCTAGGAAGGCAGGAGAAATACTTTATAATTTAAGGGCTAAATATCGTTTGAGAAAATGGTTCTAGTTTCATCGATCTGGTTTAAGAGATACAATAGTTTTCGTTATAGGACACATTTTATCGATTTGCAGGAAATTTAAATTTTTGTACATGTTCTTAACGTAGAAAGTTCCAATGCTTATGTTGTTCTTTACCATACTAAATGTATTTCAGAAAAAACAACATTTAAAACCAGCCTTGAAAAGAAGTTCTTAAAATTATATGGCTCGAAATGTGAAAACTCGTAATCGTGACTGAAGGTGTCGGGGGTCGTACATTGTTGAATAGTAAAGTGTAAGTAAATTTTATTCCGTTCAGTGTGATTTTAATTTATTTTTTGAAATCACTCAAGAATTATGTAAATTTTGATATATAGTTTAATTTTGTTTTGAATCGAGTAAGACAGCTATGATATTTTATATACATCAGCATCCTAAGAAAAAGTTGAACTTTCATTGGAAAAATTGACACAAAAGGGAAAAGAAAAATTTTCAGCTCACCACATCCACAAATACGTCTCCGATTTTCTGTTTGGTGTCCCAGTAACTAAGTCTTCCTTTTAAAGTGTCCAGAAAAGTTTCATGGAATTTCAGAATCTCCGGCACTTGATAGAATATCTGGTCCACTAGGAAGCCTTCAATTTCCGCAGAGTGTTCGCTGGTTTTCAATGGAATCATATATTTCTGTAAATAAAGGAAAATATCTTTTTAACATATTCAATTCATATGCATATAACAAAATAAAGTTCAAATTTTTAGCACTTATTTAATATAAGTTTAAAATAAAAAGATCATCAGAATAAAGTGATTTAAAACTGGAAGGCTTGTATGATCACCTTTACTATGGAGCATTATTTGTCACAGAGCCATAGAAACAATTTTAAAAACTTCAATATGTTCTAAATTTTCAGCAAAAATTTTAAACATCACCTCATTTATGATGTAATTAAAGCTATTACACTTATAAAACTTCAAAAAATATTAATATATTAATCGATATATTGTAACATCTTTTTATGAGCAAAGAATTTAAGGTATTTGCCAAAATCCTCAGTTTGCAGGGTTAATTAAATTAAATGAACTGTATTTTGATATGAGATACTCTATCCCTCCATTTCCCTATTCCTTTGAGCATATCATGCAGAAGTGTGCGTATTTTGATTATGCACATAACACATTGTAATTGCGTTACATGCGTTGCAAAGCAGCTACTTTGACGATTACAGTTTAGGCACTCTCAAATCAGATTGAAAGCTTCAGATTTTTTTCTGATGACATATAGTAGATTCCGTTTAACCTATAAATTAGCATTTAAGTGAGAATCGAGGTGGTTAATTCATATATCAAAATTACTGGCATTGTTACTGCAGCATATATCTATTAAGAAAACCTTGGACGTTTAAACAATTTGTTGTGTCATAGTCTCCTTGCAAGTTGTAAAAGATGCAATTAACCTTTAGCATTTTGAAACAGCGTGATTTCAATTGCCAATTAATATGTAGCTATCGTTTTCTGTTCTCTTATATTTATTTAGTAAATTTGAATTAAGTTCTTTGATAGTGAAAAGTTCCCCGGAGAAAATGAGTTTAGCAGCATGGAATTCTTAAAAAAATCACTCAAATACTTGTCAGAAGTCGAAATTGGGATCTGCGTGTTACCGGGTATATATGATTATTATTACTTCGCAAAAGTACGAGGAAGGAGAGGAATTATCTTCCTTTAATCCTTGCAACAACATTGCAACATTATGACACAGCTTTTTATCATCAAGAATTAATCTATTGCAAGGTATGATTACCATTCCTTCTAACGTTTGACTTACGCGTACACTACGCTGACGTGGACCCAATCACAGAAGATCGAGAATGTCCATTCACTCTGATTAGAAGGCTCTGCTTGGTAAACTTCATCTGCGCCTTGCACCAAATAATTGTTTTTAAAAGTTAGCAGCATAAACGGGAACCGAATTTCCAAGTGATTATTACTTACAGCAGTACAGATCTTTGGTCTATTGAAACAATTGTTATTAATTGTTTTCTTTGTCTTGCTTTGGCAGCTATTGATTCGTTATTTCATTTCCCATCGCACTGTACTCTTTTAGAATTATTCGTTCTTTTAAAAGCAAATGTAGCTATTACATCTATAAAATTAAATAGTTCTGTGCAAATTTCAAGTTATAGTCTTCTAATTCTTGCGACCGAGAGTATACAGTTAATTGTCTTGCCTTACAATGAAAATTCTCAAGCTTTTACTTATATCTTTAGAATACTTGGAGGTACCCGTTTGAAAACTCTTATCACAAAATGAGCTACCACATGTAAAAAGGAATTTTCTCGGACCTTTTCTGCGTCAGTTCTTGATATATAAAAACAAACACACATTCTACAGCTTTAGTTGATTTAGATCAATTTCTTCATGTTAAACAGGCTGTCACAAACCCAGATCTCTACATACATTTTATTAATTAACTAATTAATACGTTTTAAATGGCGATTACTTTTTCTGAATCAGGGAATAGGACAAATCCTCTGCGTTTTCACCAGGATATGAGCCGTTGGTCCTCCAGCTCCCAGCTGGACATGCTAACCCCATGCACAACGAAAACATAACCCGGGGACAAATGTGACAACTATTTGCATTCTCCCTTATGTGAAAGATGACAGTACCTCAACTCAGTTGTCTTTGGATGTTAGATTTGTAATGGATGTATGATAACCACGATCAGATCTAGGCGGTGTCGAATTATCATCCACCACTTTTTATTTCGGGTACCCCTGTAGAGTCTATTAAAATTTTCGGAGCCAGAAAATGTGATAAACGAACTGTGCCTTGGTCGAAATTCGAACCGCGAATTTTTCGATTTCTAGTGGGATGTGCTTACCACTTACAACACGAGAGCACGCATAGGTGAATGCAATTATTCTTTACAGAGTTTTAATTATCCCATAACAATTACACTGAAGTGACAAAAGTCATGGGATACCTCCTAATATTTTGTCGGTCCTCCTTTTGCCCGGCGAAGTGCGACGTGGCATGGCTTACATGTCGTTGAAGTCCTGCGGAATATTGAGCCATGCTGCATCTTATAGACGTCCCCAATTGTGAAAGTTGCGGTGTAGGTTTTGGGCACGACTGAGTCTAAATGATGTCCCATAAATGTTCGATGGTTGCATGTCGGGAGATCTAGGTGGCCAGATCATCGCTGGAATTATCCAGAATTCTTTACGAATCGCGAACATTGGCCCGGTGCATGGCGCATGTCATCCATATAAAATCCAAGTTGTTTTTGAGTACGTGAAGTCCATGAATGGCTGTAGTGATCTCAGTAGTGAAGGTTCCATTTCCAGTCATGATTGGTCAGTTGCACCAGAGGCCGATTCCATGCTATAAAAGCATCCCCGACATTATGAACCACCACCAGCTTGAACAGTGCCTTTGTGACACTTGGGTCCATGGCTTCGTGGGGTCAGCTCCACACTCGAACCCTACCATCTAGTTCTTACCAACTGAAATCGTGACTTATCTGACCAAGCCACGTTTTCATTCGTTTGAGACCAACGAATGCTCACGAGCCCACGAGAGTCGCTGCAGGCGATTTGTGCTGTCAGTAAGGAATCGAGTCGGTTTTCGCTGGCATACCAAAAAGACAAATTTCGCTGCACACTTGACAACTTACGCAGACGCGCTGGTCTCGGTCGTTTACGTGCAGGTGGTCGGCACTGCGCTGCATGGTGGGATGTTTGCCGAAATTAGATACTCTCGGAACACTCTTGACACTGTGGATTCGGAAGTTTAATTCCCTAAATATCCGAAATGAATGACCCATGCGTTAGCTCCAACACCATTCCGCGTTCAAAGTCTGTTAATCTCGTGCGGCCATAATACGTCAAAGCCTCTTTCATGAATAACTGAAAACAATGAAAGCCCTGCCAAAGCACTTCGCATTTATACATTTTCTACGCGATACTACTGCCGTCTGTATATTTGCATATATCTATCCCATGACTTTTGTCACTTCAGTGTAATTTGATATTGCTGTAATCGTCAATAGAACTGAAACTCAGATATCCAAGTCCATTGTTAAGGTTTTATACTCTAAGCAAGCGTCTATAATTTATTTATATAGATGAATAAAACAGATGTACTAAAGAATAAAACATTACCTAATTTCAGTGAAAAATGCAACTAGCTTTCGTTTAGATTTAGTTTAGAAATAGTGCTATTACTTTTCTATAAATGTTTAAAAGTCAGGGATAAACATCTTGGCACTTGATAGATTTACCTCGAAATATTTTGTCACGTGATCTATTTATTCAAGATAAAGCCGTAGCCAAGATGTAATTTAGAGCCTGCCAAACTTATTTCTGACAGCCTATTTTCCTTATTTTCATTTTTTTGTGACATCTTAAGAAACTAGGATATTTGCATATGTTAGATTTTGTTTAGTTTTCTTTTCCATTGAAAATCTTCTTTTCTCCCGATTTCCGCAATATTTAAAGCAGAAAGCGTTTTAAATTAAAGCATTCTGTTATGTAATACGAAAACGTAAATTTAGGAAAAAAAGGAAAGTCACAATAATCGTTGCGATAAAAATATACTCTGATTTAAATGGAAACAAATATGTTTATTAATGCAGCTTCGATTAAGAGAAAACAGTAGAATACAAAAAGAGTAGAATACTGAATTCCATGGGAAGTATTTTGATCAAACTTGCAATGAAACTTCAGCAGAAAGCAATAGTATGCTTCGCGATTCTAGAAACATCTAACAAGCAAAGCATTGCAATCCTTTGATTTAGCACTGATGAATTTGCATAAATTATTGAAATAATTCATTTTATTTAAACTACTAAGAATTAAATTTAGCTATATATTTTACGAATACGAAAAGAAAAATTAATGGTAAAATTATAAAAATATGCAGAATGCTGCGTTTGCATTGAAAGCTTGAGACAAATCAACCCCTCGATGCAAAACAATGAGAATAACAACTCAGTTGTTTTTCAGACAATGGAAATCAAAGCTGTGGAATTTCTTATTATTCTAAAGCATTTTTTAAAAATATAACAGTAAATCAAATGAAAGTGCGATAGTGCTCTCTTCTACCATACAGTTTGTCCCACTGATCTGAATATGCCTTTTTAGGACGAATATAGTATGTGATAGACCTGCAACTGAAGCATGATTGTATTACCAGATGATAACTCATGGTGATATTACCAAATGAATCAGAATTGCATTGGATTCATATACCTTAATCACACTGTTAAATGTTGATGAAGAAAAATCAAGTGAAACATACAATTATAAGAAGAATGAAGATACCGATTCCTGGAAAAATAAAGAAATCATCTTAAAGCCCCTCAAGGAAGATATTGATGTATATGATGAAATAAAGAATAACATTGATCCAAAAAATTGGAATCGGTGTTGTAGGTTCTTTTTGCAGGAAAAACGGGGATATGGTAGTTAGACTAAACAGCAGAGAAGAATGTAGAAAATTGGAAAAAGCGGTTATTGATAACGAAAAACTTAATCAACTTGTAATGCCAAAACGTAGAAAATTTATACGACCTAAGGTTATTATTTACAATGCTTCTAATTTTCTTTCAGACGAAGTACTTATAGAGGCATTAAAACTGGAATGTTCATGTGGTGCTAACTGTGTTCGCCCATTGTTTAAAA